TTAAAAAATATTTTTAAGCTGACACATTAACAGACTTACACATTTATGGGGTGCAGTGTGACATTCCAATACAGATACACTATGTGTAATGACCAGATCAGGGTAATTTGCATATTCATCACTTCATTTATCACTTGTGTAAGCAATTGAGGTAATGTTCTAATAGCTATTCCTGTCATTTCTCTTCAAGCTGAAATTGACCTTCTGCCTTTTAGCTTTAATTATTTAAAAAATTAACACCGTTGCTCCTTTAAGAGGTGTTGGTGGGAGTAGGTTGAGGAAAATTTGAGGCCTCCTGTCCAGTGGGGGCACAAACTGCCTGACCTGACAAGTTTCACCAACTCTTTAGACTATCTGGCTTGGTGTCTTGAGGGTTCAAGCTCATTATCCACCCTTGCCCTGCTTTGTGTTCACGGATTCCAGCAGACACTGTACCCATTTCTGTGTCTTTAAGCCCCCCCCCCCCACCTGTCTCCAGTCCTCAGCCAACTCTTCCCTCAGCTCAGCATTTAACATGCATTGTTTGGTTCCCTAAAAATTATGGTATCTCTTGCGGAGATATTCTGGGCAACCCCCATGACCCCAAAGTGGCCTCTTGTAAAGTGTGCTCTGAGCACTGCTCTGCTTTACAGAGGGGCTCGCGGGCCCAGGAAAGTGACCGAGTCAAAATGTGAATGCAGGTCTAATTCCAGAATGGGGGTTCCTGCCAGCGACTGCCTGCCTGACCCCGTGGTGGGTGTGTAGAGTCTGGCAGACCCCAACCTTACCTCCAGGGGCTCCCAGAACCAAGCCCGCAGCTCAGGAGGAAGGAGCAGCCGTCCTGTAGAGAAGCCTCAACGAACATTTACGGGGATAACTCTCCCCTCCCTCAGGAATTCCGCGCCCTTAGTGATCTCCCGCAGAGCCTGGGTTTGAACTTCCCATCTTGGAACCTAATTGTCTATGGTCTTGCTTGTTTCTAGTATTGGCTTTGCCTAGCAAAAACTCTTTCTTCAGGCCCAGCCTAGTCTCTGAGGGGTGGACTAGACTGCCAGGCCTTCCCAGCTAGATCTCCCTCATCCACTTTTAGAGAGACCAGCAGCCCTGAAACCGAAGTCCCTCAGGGACCTTGGTTAAAAACGAAGCTTTGTGACTGGTTTTGGGATGGGCCCCAGGAAGCCACATTTCTAACACCCAGGTCATTTTTAGGTTGTGGTCAATGGATGTCTATATTCCTGCCCCATTTAGGCAGGATTATTTCCTGCCATGATTCTCGAGCATTGCACACAGCTGAAGAATTAGAAACTGGGCCTCTTTTGTTTCTGGATACACCACTTGGCAGGTGTATTAACAGCCTGACAGGCTGCTTGCCACAGGTGCATGTTCCACGTGTGTCCCACATGCTCCTGATGTGCAACCAAAGACCCCTGGTTCCCCACCACCAGCCTGCAGCTGTTGCCCTCCTCCCACCCCAGCCCACAGCGTGGGCTCCCTCCTTCCCCACCCACCTACCCACCCCTTCCCTTCCCTCCCCCCAGGCTCCTCCCACCTCAGTTTTTTTGTCGTTGTTCCTGGCTAAGTTTTTCATGTGAGATGGGGGGTAGGGAGACTGGCTAGAGGGCGAGGACGCTCTGCCAGTCATCGGAGGTCCTAGTGAATGGGCACTTTCTCCACCAGAGAAAACCTGCTTTCCTACCAGAGAAATGGGCAGAGGCCTCTCTCTGGAACTTGGGAGATGTCACTGGGAGTGGGGGTGGGGCAAAATAGCCCAAAGCAGGCCCAACCTGCCTGGGGTTCCTTTGTTGCCGCACAGAGGGAATGGAATCTTACCCATAAGGTGAGAAGAGCCGGAGAGAATGACCGCGGACCGGCCCCCCCCTTCTCCCGCTTCCCTCCAAACACCTACCGCTAAAAGGGGAAGAAAAAAAAGCACCAACAAAGAGTTTAAGATAGCAATTCCCAGCTTTTTCAAATATGAAGCATATTTTAACCAATCCATTTTTAATTCTTAAATTCTTGACGTTACAGAACTAAACTGAAATTTATTAACATTCCACTCTTACATTTCTTATCGACAAACAGAAATAAAATTCATGAGCCAAAAAACCCAAAACAAAACTAAAAACAGGGAAAAGCTTATAAAACTAAATATGGATCCCAGCATTAACAGCTGAACAGAGAATGTGATTTTTAAATTCTTAGCGGATGATAAAGTGTAGAAACTGAACACTTACAAATTATTTAAAACCTGGAATCACTGACCAGAAATTACACAGTTGGATCATGGGAAAACAGCAGAAAGGGGTTATGAGTGAACCTACACTGTTCTAGCTGCACCCCATGCCCTTCTCAGAGGAAAGCCTGGCATTGATTAGATACTGGGCCAGACTAATACTGGCAGCAGAGCCAGTGATAGTAACCTGCCTACCAGAAGAGCCTTCCACTGGGTTGGCAATTTTGATCTGGGCCCCCGACATCTGGCGGATCTCATTAATGTTGGCGCCTTGGCGCCCGATTATGCAGCCAATTAAGTTATTTGGAATGGTGAGTTCATGGGTGGTTTGAGTAGATGCATCCAAACTTGCCCAATAGCCTTTCACCTCTGGAGAGCTGGAGTCAATTCCGGCGAATCCGGTCCCGCCGTGCATCATGGCAAAGTGAGACTGTTGTCTTGCCACCTGGTTCAGCTTGGCCAGATCGAGCGGAGAAATGGTGTGTTGTCCTTGAATCGAGTAGGCATCTAGAGGTGGTCCCTCCAGGTCATGGGTGGCGTGGGGGTAGCCCGCAGCGTCGCTGCAGCGATCTTGGCCGCCCGCGCAGATGACCGGAGAGCTGGCCGGCATGGGCTGGTACGGAATGGTCATGACTCTCCCTTGCGGAGACTGGGAGAGCGTCTCCAGCATGACCAGGCAGATCTGCTTGACACACTCGGTGACAGACTGCGGCACGCCCGCGATGGTGATGGCCCGCTCGGTCGAGTTGGGCAGCATATCCCCCGCCACCTGGACCTGGGCCCCCGTGCTCTCGCGGATCTCTTTGATCTTACACCCGCCTTTCCCGATCAGGGAGCCGCACTGGGTGGCCGGCACCACCAGCCGCAGGGTCACCGGGGGCCGGCTGGCCGCCGTGCTGTTGGTCATGGAGCTGTTGATATCTTCCTCCAGCTTGTCGATGATCATAGCGAATGCCTTGAAGATGGCATTAGTGGGGCCGGTCAGAGTGATGATTCGCTCCGGACAATTCCCCTCCGAGATGTTGATCCGCGCGCCACTCTCCTCGCGGATCCTCTTAACCGACTCCCCTTTCTTCCCAATGATGCTTCCTACTTCCTTTCCGTGCATAAGAAGCCGAATGGTGAGAGTCACATTTAGTCCGCTTTCAGTCACACCGGCATCCATGGCGAGCGGCGGGCGGCGTTCGGGGGAGTTGGGCTCGTTACGTGGTCAAGTCTTTGGTGGCTGGCGGGGGGAGGGGAGGTGTAGGCCCAAAACTGCCGGCGCGAGGCGAGCGAGGGCCGCGGGAGCGAGCGGGCGCGGGCGGGAGGCCGCGGCGTCGTCGCAGGGGCGGGCGGCGGCGGCGGAGGGGGCGAGCGGGGCCGGGAGCGGCGGGCGGGCGGGTGGGCGAGGGCGCGGCGGTGGCGACTCCGGCGGCAGCCTCGGCGGTCTGGGCGGGGCGGGAAGCCCGCTTTCAACCCCGCGTACCCTCTGACCCCGGAAGTGCTTGCTGCGCAGGACCCCTTGAAAAAAAATGAGGACCCGTGGTTTTTAGGTCACAAGATTGCGCCAAGCCCCACGCGGTACTTAAAAAAAAAAAAAACTAACGCTGCGGTACTGACAATAAAGCACACGGGGAACGGAAAGTGTGAGTCCGGCAAAGTTTTAAAATGACCGTGAATTTTATTAACGCTAACGGCACCGGAGGATGACTGGAAATATTGGTGTTGTGTATGAAGGACACGCTTTATTTTTCTGCCCTAGCAAAGGAGTTTTCTGTCCGGAGCGACACGGGCAGCCCTGGCGGTAACTGCAGGCAGCTGCCGGGACGCCGCGGGTTTAAAACGTGCGCGTGAGGTGGCCAGGGCGCGTGCGCGAGGGTGGGGGCGACGGGAGGGGCCGCTGCTGTCTTCCGGGGGGGAGGGGCGGCGAGGCGAGGCTGGAGGGGCGGGCGCGGGCGGGCACGTGGGGGCCTTTCGTCCCCGGCGTCCGGGCGCCCCGCTCTAGCCCCCACCCCTGTCCCAGCCCCGCGGCGGCGGCCGGTGAGCCGAAAGGCCGAAACCCACCCCGCCGCCGCCTGAGTCTGGGCTCTGCGGACCGTTTGTAGGGCATACTGGAAACGTGGCCATAAAAAAAGAATGGCGTCCATTTACATAATGCTTTGTTTGCATTTTGCAACTTTCTTTCGGTGAAACCCACAGAAACCCCTCCTCCTGCCCTTGTGTCGTTTCTACCGCAGCGGCCTCGTCAGACATTTGAAACAATGGTGTAGTTCTGTGCTGAGCGGGCGCGGACCAGGGCTTTGGGTTGTTTCTGCGCCTTTTGCGCGCGGCCCACGCCCCCGAGGCTGCCTTTCAGCCCTTTGCCTTCCGCGCGGCCGCCGCGCCCCGCTTCTCCGGGGGCGGCCCCCGGCGGCGGCGCCCGCCATCTTGGGCAGCTTTTCTGCCGTTGCTTGCGCAAAGGAAATGTCGCTCGAGACGCTGGCGCGTCCGAGTTATGGTTTTTGCCCCCTGCCTTTCTTCCTCTGGCTAAGCCAGACGAGGAAAGACGGTGTGCGCCAAGTTCATCAAGAGACCAGGGGAGAAGACTAACGTAGCGCGCCACCGCGACCCCCTTCCCCACGCGGGCGGCCGCCATGTTTTCTGAACACAAAATGGCGACACGTGGCCTCGATCCGTCGCCAACGAGAAATCGGGGTGGGCCCGAAAGCTCTAGAACGCGCGCCCCCGCCCTGGGCCCTCCCCGCGCCGCTGGTCTTATGACCGCTCGGGATGAAGTCCCGCAGGCTGGTCCGACGCTTGGTGGACCATTTGAACGAGTTCCCCACCCCCTTTAACTGGAGCAGGGAACGCAAATAGCTCCGAAATGTGGGCACAATATTGATCCTATCGCTTTAAAAAATTTTTGTTAGTGGATAATAGGACGCAGTACCCTGAAATAATTTGTGAACCGCAACGATGCTCCCCCAGTACCAAAGCATTTAGAAATCACTGTTTTAAGGAATGACGTGGGAAATTTCTGCTTTACAGGCTCATGTGCGGATTTAAAAAGCTGCTTCTGAAAAATGATTTAACTTCCCTGAAGAGAGTAGGACGTCTGGCTTTTTCACAGGCCAGCTGCCCAGTGAACCTCAACTGACCACAAGTGGTGTTCACTCAATCTAAAAGATTTAGACATTTATTGTGATCCTGTGCTAGGTATTTTACTCATACCATCTTTTTACCACGATCTTCTGAGGTAGATATTGTTATCTCTGTCTTTCTCTCTCTTTTTTTTAACAGAGGAAGATACAAACCTAGAAACATGAAGGGTTTAATTCAAGGTCACACAGTGTCGGGCATGGAATCCAGACCTGATTTTCTTCCTGGTGAGCACAACATTTTTAGATTTTACTATAAACCAGGCTTTTAGAATTTAAATGCTATTTTAAACGTTTAGGCAAGTGTTGAAGAAACCCGTTAGAGAGCCTTTAGATGTGACCAAGCCTGTGTTTGTGTCTGCCTGGGGGCTCTCAGTTTTCCTAGTGTGACACCTGTAGCGGGCTCCAGTGCCATTTTATGAGGTGTTTGGGAGAGGATAGAGAAGTGGAAGTGATTCAGCCCTGCCCAGAGTCTCAGGTATTTGTCACTCTGGCCTTGTCTGTGGCACATTTGAATCTACCTGGCTCGGGGGGAGCAAATAATTCTCTGTGTGATTCACTTGCTTTCCTCAGCCACTCAGGGGCTGGACTCCCGCCTTCCCCACCCCAGTGACCCAACCAGGTAAAAATAAATTATTTCATTTTGGTGCCAAGCCTCCATTTCTCTGCAAATATTGACAGAGCATGACAGATAATTCAGAGCCTGTGGACCCGTCCATGTAATGCATGGCTGGTGGATGTGTCCCCACGGAGCTCTGCTTCTACTGGTGTCAGACACAGAAGATTTTTTTAGTTTTAATGTACATTAATATCATATGTCAGGTTTCCCAAAGTGCTTTCACATTATTTTTATAACTCCACAAACAATTTTAATTGATAAAGACGTAACAGCAACAGTGATTGTAATTGTGTTCACTATGTAAAAGTGCTCACTATGTGCTAGGCATGGTTCTAAGCTTCCTTCTGTGCATCAATTCATTGACTCGCGTTTCTAGAAGCAGTTTCTAAATGCTATAAGAAATTTACATTTACAACATGACTTACACATCAGAAACAGTACTTGCCTGTAATGTATCTGGTAATTTATATTCTTTATAAAAAAACGGGGGGCATAATATAACTAGAGCTGTTAAAACCTCCTTTGTAGGTTGTGCCCACTATATGGGGTCAGTCCTTACAGAACCTCAAAATGGGCAGTGATGTTATTTTCATTTATGGAAGCACAGAAAGGTGAAGGAATTTGTCCATAGTCACAGATGAGTATGAATGGAATTAAACTTTTTGCTTCAAAATAAACTTACCTTTTATTTCCAGTTTTCACAAAGTTTTTGAATTGCTCTTGTAGTAAGTAGTAAAGCAAGGATTTGAATCTAGGCAGTCTGAGTCCAGATACTACCTTTGTTTGTTTTATTAAAGATTTATTTGTTTATTTGAAAGGCAGAGTGAGGGAGAGGGAGAGACAGAGAGCTTATATACCCTAGTTCACTCCCAGATGCCACAATGATCAGGGCTAGGCCAGGCTGAAGTCAGGAGCCAGCAACTCCATCCAGATCTCTTATGTGATTAATAGGAACCCAAGTACTTGGACCATCATCTACTGCCTTCTAGTTAGCAGGAAGCTGAATCCTGCAGCATGAAGTAGTGGGGACTTGAATCAGCCACTCCGATGATTTGAGATGTAGACATCCAAAGAGGCTGCAGCTTAACCCACTGCACCACAACAGCTGCCCCCAGCAACTACATAGCTAACCACTAAGCTAAATGTGGACTCTGCAGAGGACCTTGTCTTGCAGGGAGACAGAACAGATCAGAAAACTTAAAAAATCAGTGAATATTAAAGACTCAGGAGACAACAAAAAAGGTCATTGGATGTAAGCAAGCAGCATCCGGATTCAAAACATTTTGGTACTCTGAAATTACTTCTTTAGCTTCTCTACAGAAAATTTCAGCTGTTAGATCTTTCGTCCCAAGACTGCCTTTTTAAGATTTTTTCTGCCTGAAATATTGGTATATTTCCTCTTCCTTGAGTACATTCAGGACTCAGTGTACCTCCTTAGCACAGCGTTCTCTTTCCCAGATACTCCTGCTCCCCTAGCACGCAGCCCCCTCTCTACTATGGCCCCCATTTGCTGTTGATTACATTGTAAGGTGTTTTGGTGTCAGTAATGTGTCATTCACGCTACAGGTGCCATGGATGATGCTGTGATCTGACAAGGAGATGCTGGACTTTGGAATCCAACTCTGGGCCCTAACCCCAGTTCTGCCACTGCCTGGCTCTGCATCTTACAGAACCTAGTTTGTCTATCTGGGCCTTAGGCTTCCCTTCTGTAAAACCAGAGATTAAACCATTTCTAAGGCCCCTTCTAATGCTGACCAAGGAGTAATGATATTTGATGACTGTCATTGTTTATCCCTGGGGGGTAGGGTTATGTAAATATTTTACTCACTTTTGGCAAATTCTCCACTCCCTCCCTCAGACCTGCGCTATCTTATGGATTATGTGAGTGAGTTCTACACCGCCCATTTTATTGATGGAAGCCACTGAGATACAGGACAACTGACTGAGAGTCTCTGCCCCACCCTTGGAGCCTCACGCATGACTCTTCTCCCACTCGAGGGACCACAGGTTGGTTAAGGGTTTAACAAGACTGGGAAGGTGAGTCAGAATTAGACTTTGGAAGTAGAATCACAGGATTTATACACAGGAATGGTTTTTGTTTCCTCTTACAGTAATGTTAGTAAGTCACATAAGACTTTTCACAGTGACTTCACATTACTTGTTTAATCATCACAGACAACTTGGCCAGTAAATTTATCCCTGCTTTATGAAAGAGCCACCTTTGGGTCAGACGAGTGAAATGACTTCCCTGAGTTTACACAGCTTGTTAGGATCTGAGCAGCGTTTCCTGACTCCTACTTGTGGATTGTTTTTTCCTTGATTTCTGATGCTTGTGGCTTGAGCTTTGATGCATAGATAACTTTACCTTCAACTCAAAGAGCTTGCCCGCCAGTAACTTTTTTTTTTTTTTTTTTGTCCTAAAACTTCCAATCTGGTTCCCCTAGGGTTCTGACTCTTAGTTTAAGAAAATCTCTTATCTGTTGTTTCTGTTGTCTCTGTGTTTATGTGTTTGAGAAAGGGTGGGGATGATTCTTCAAAAAGCTTAAATTCCCTGGGAGTAAAGGCCTCTTTTCTTTTTTAAAAAGATTTGTTAGAAAGTTACAGAGAGAGAGAGGGAGAGACATCTGCTTCCATTTTGCTGTTTCGCTTCCCAGATGGCTTCAATAGCCAGAGGTGGGCCATTCTGAAGCCAGGAGGTTCTTCAGGGTCTCTTATGTGGGTGGCAGAGACTCACTTGGGTCATCTTCCACTGCTTTTCCCGGGCCATTTTCAGGGAGCTGGATCAGAAGTAGAGCCGCTGAGACCTAAACCAGTGCCGTTATGGGATGGCAGTGACAGGTTTGACCCTGAATGCCAGGACACAGGGTTGGGGGCATATTTCTTTTGTTTAACTTACTTGACACAACATCTGTACTATAGTTATTTAAATGTTCCCTACCAAAATGCAGCAGTTAAATAGAAGTTTCATTTTTCTCTTCTTCAGACTTACCAACCTACTTCTCTGTTATTTAAAATAATACTAAATTGAGAAGGTCTTTTCCCTATTACTTTCTAGGCTACTGTAGCCTGATTTGATCTTAAGACCTGGTGACCCTGCACTGCTGTTAATGGGATCACTTCTTGGTTCCCTGAGAATCACTAGATTGATGTCTATTGTAGCAACAATACAAAGATACAGCAACATCCTTGGCCCAAATGCTCCCAATTGGGCAAAGCAGTGTCTGTGGATTTTCCATGGTACTCCTGCCTGAAATAAGGCATGGGGAAAGGAATACAAACAAAAGATAAAGGAAAAAATGAGAACAGGCTGCAAGTAAGTATAGAAAATGGAGGGGGATTAAAAAAGGCAAAGAGCTAAAAGATGAGGGTAGAGAGAAGAGGAAAATGCAGGATCAGTCGAAAGAAAGTGAAGAGAACAATATGGAGGTCCGTTATCCACTGTGATGTGAGAGGCATAGGCTGCTAGTCTTGGCAGATGGCAGGATAACTCCTGAGCTCAACCTGGGTAGCATGTACTTCCCCTGTTTATATTCTATTTCCAGTCTCAGGTAGATTGGGAAATTTCTTTATTTTTTTGTCAACTGGGATGTGATCAGATATCAGTAATTTTAAGAATAGCCTAAATTCAGGTAGATTATTATGGAAGATGAGTTAGAAAAATCACAAAATATGGGGCTGGTGCTGTGGCACAGCAGGTTAGTGTCCTGCCCTGAAGCGCTGGCATCCCATATGGGTGCTGGTTCAAGTCCTGGCTGCACTACTTCCTTTTTTTTTTTTTTTTTTTTGACAGGCAGAGTGGATAGTGAGAGAGAGAGAGACAGGTCTTCCTTTTGCCGTTGGTTCACCCTCCAATGGCCGCCACCACGGCTGGCACGCTGCGGCCGGCGCACTGCGCTGATCCGAAGGCAGGAACCAGGTGCTTCTCCTGGTCTCCCATGGGGTGCAGGGCCCAAGCACTTGGGCCATCCTCCACTGCACTCCCTGGCCACAGCAGAGAGCTGGCCTGGAAGAGGGGCAACCGGGACAGAATCCGGCGCCCCGACTGGGACTAGAACCCAGTGTGCCGGCGCCGCTAGGTGGAGGATTAGCCTATTGAGCTGAGGCGCCGGCTGTTCTACTTCCGATCCAGCTCTCTGCTGTGGCCTGGGAAAGCAGAAGATGGCCCAAGTCCTTGGGCCCCTGCACCCATATGGGAGACCTGGAAGAAGCTCCTAGCTTTGGATCGGCACAGCTGCAGTTGTTGTGGCCAATTGGGGAGTGAACCAGTGGATGGAAGAATTCTTTCTCTCTCTGCCTCTCCTCTCTCTGTGTAACTCTGACTTTCAAATAAGTAAATAAATCTTTAAAAGAAAAAAAAAAGAAAAGAAAAATCACAGGACAGGCATTGTGATGCACTGGGTTAAACTGCTGCCAGTTTAATGCTGGCATCTCATTTAAACACTGTTTGTGTCCTTGCTGCTCCATTTCTAATCCAGCTCCCTGCTAATGGCCTGGGAAAAACAGCGGAGGATGGCCCAAGTGCTTGGGCCCCTGCACCCATGTGAGAGACCTGGAAGAGGCTCCTGGCTTCAGATTGGCGCAGCTCTGGCTGTTGCGGTCCTTTGGGGAGTCAACTATCGGGAGGAAGACCTTTTGCTTTGTCTCTACCTCTCACTGTCTATAACTCTACCTCTCAAATAAATAAATAAATAAAATCTTAAAAAAAAAAAAGAGCTTCCTCTGCTGGTTTGCTCCTCAGATGGCCACAATGGCCAGAGCTGAGCCAGTCTGAAGCCAGGAGCCAGGAGCTTCTTCTGTGTCTCTCCCATGGATGCAGGGTCCCAAGCACTTGGGCCATCATCTGATGCTTTCCCAGGCACATTAGTAGGGAGCGGGATAGGATATGGAGCAGCTAGGGCTAGAACTGGTACTTGTATGGGATGCTGGCATTGCAGGCAGCAGCTTAACCTGCTATGCCACAACACCAGCCCTGATTGTCAGGTTTGGTAGTAGCTATTTGTGCTTCATCATACAAGTGTTTTTTGAATTAACTATTTGTGTCCTAGCAATCTAGCAAGTTCTGATGTTACCCATGTGGGAGACCCTGCATTGAATTCCTGGCTTTGACCTGGCCCTGGCCTGGTCCTGACTATTGGAGGCAATTGAGTAAACTAATGGGTGGGGAGCTGGATCTCTGTCTCTTTCTATCGCAAATAAAATTTTTAAAAAATTATAAAAATCACAGAAGAGAGTTAAGCTGTTACTTGGGATGTTCACATACCATATTGGAGTGCCTGGTTTAAGTCTCTATCACTATACTTCTGTTCCAGCTTCCTGCTAATGTGCAGCCAGTCTCTGCCAGTCACATGGCAGACCCAGATGGAGTTCCAGACTCCTAGCTTCAGCCTGAGCCAGCCCTGGCTGTTGTAGGCATTTCTTGAGTGAACCAGAAGGTGGAAGATTCTCTCTGATTCTCTGCCTTTTGAATAAAAAAATTTATTTATTTATTTAATAGACTCATGGAAGGAAAAAAAAATCACAGAGGATATTTCCGGTAAAATTTCATTGTGTTAGGGTCAGTATCGTGGCATAGCAGGTTAAGCCACTGCCTGTGACATTGGCATCCCATATAGTGACAGTTCGAGTCCTGGCTGCTTCACTTCCAATCCAGCTTCCTGCTAATGCACCTGAGAAAGCAGTGGAAGATGGCCCAAGTTCTTCTGCTGCATCCATGTGACATGGGCTAAAACTCCAGGCTCCTGGCTTTGACCCATCCCTGGCCCTTATGGCCATTTAGGAAGTGAACCAGTGGACAGAAGATCAGTCTCTCGATCTCTCAATCTTCCTCTTTCTCTCTCTCTCTCTCTCTCTAACTCTGCCTTTCAGATAAATAAATAAATCTGTAAAATTCCATTGTAATCATTCATTCAACAATAATTTTTATAAAAGCTGTTTTTCATTTGTTTGAAAAGTGAAGAGACAGAGATCTTTCATATGCTGGTTCACTCCCAAAATGCCTGCAACAGCCAGATTAGGCCAGGCTAAATCCAGGAACCCAGAACTCCATCTGCATCTACCAAGTGGGTAGCAGGGACCCAATTACTTAAATCATAACCTGCTGCCTCCCAGGGTGTGCATTAGCAGGGGGCAGGATCAGAAGTGGAACTAGGACTTGTACTCAGGTATGAATTGTGGGTGCCCCAGATGTCATCCTTTTTTTTTTTTTTTAAAAAAAAAGGGTTGTTTATTTATTTATTTGAAAGTCAGATTTACACTGAGAGAGAAGGAGAGGCAGAGAGAGAGAGAGAGAGAGGGAGAGAGGTCTTCCATCCACTGGTTCACTCCCCAATTGGCTGCAACGGCTAGAGCTGCGCTGATCTGAAGCCAGGAGCCAGGAGCTTCTTCTGGGTCTCCCACGCGGGTGCAGGGGCCCAAAGACTTGGGCCATCCTCTGCTACTTTCCCAGGTACATTAGCAGAGAGCTGGATTGGAAGTGGAACAGCTGGGACTTGAACCAGCACCCATATGAAATGCCTGCACTGCAGACAGTGGCTTAACCTATTACACTACAATGCTGACCCCTAAAATAAATCTTAAAAAAGTATAGTCTTTTCAGGAGGGTAAAAGGATATTTACATTATCTAATATTTAATGATTACTGTTCTGCTTCATTTGTGGATTATTGAGATTTGAACTCAACACTCTTAGTACTCACTGTTCACTGAATTTCTCCACTTGGGTGTCTAGTAGCTTCTTCAGTTTATTAAAAAACCTAACTCCAGAAGTTCTCTAAAACTTGCTTTCCTGGCAGTTCCTCTTCATCTCAGGTTTTTTTTTTTTTTAGATTTATTTTATTTATTTGAAAGACAGAGTTACAGAGAGAGGTAGAGACAGAGAGAGGTCCCCAGATGGCCGCAACGGCCGGAGCTGCACTGATCCGAAGCCAGGAGCCAGGAGCTTCTTCCAGGTCTCCCATGTGGGTGCAGAGGCCCAAGGACTTGGGCCATGTTATACTGCTTTCCCAGGCT